GGTTCCCATAGCTTTTCGACTCCCGGGACACCTCCCGCCCCCCACTGCACGGACCCCCCCCCCGCATGGCGCCCCCTCACATACCTGTATGTCACTAACATGTCTCCTCTGAGTCTCCTTTCAAGACTGTGCAAACAGTGAGCTCTGCTAAAGGCCTTGAAGCATCTGTGAAAGACCAAGCAGGAAGACGGACACGAACTGAACTGTCCGTTGGTGTTTCTTGCCTTTCCTCCTTTATGTATCTTCAGCAGCACCATGGTAGATTCTGGCTCAAAAGAAAAGCTGGTGTGGCCATTGGAGGCTTTTCTGCTCCAATGGCAACATTGGCACAGAAAAGGCAGGTAAACCCTCGAAAACTGATTGGGGTACCTGACCGTGCTAAATGAATTAAAAGAGCCGGATAAGCTGCTTGGCCAGCTCCGCCAACTCAGTGGCACTGCATGCCATGCGCTGCTTAGGGTGGCTGCTCCGTGGTGGACCAGCATCCTTCTCTGGCACCATGCCGGTGTGGGATGGCCTGCCAGTTCTCAGCCTGCTCCATCTCAAGGACATGGCAAGGACAGTGCTGCGCTGGTCCTGTTTCTGCATGAAGTCTTAGCAGACACTTGTGCTTCCCCTCCTCCTCCCCGTGCACTAAAAAGCGGCCTCGGTAGACGCACCCGAGATTGCATCTGGAAGGCACACCGGCTCAGACTTGGACAAGGAGCCAGATGTGAGTGCTCCAGAACGGTGGGGCAGCTGCTGAGAATGCCCCCTGGGTGAGCTGGCTGATAGGAGCAGGCCCAGCCAGGCCTAAAGGTCACGGTGTGAAACCCAGAATTGGATGCAGTCTCTTCATTAAGCGAGTTATGGATCAAGTGGTTGCAGAATCCCAGTTTCCAAGCAGCAGAGATCGCTGAAGTCGGAACATCCTGCAAATATTGAAGCAATTCCCCCCTGCTACTCTTTAGGTTTCCGCACTGTTTTTCATGCTTTCCCTTTGAAGGTGGCCTTGCAGACTGCAGGGAGAGGAAAAAGTTATTAGAAATAACTCAGCATTTCACTGGAGGGTCACCAAACCAGCAGTGAGGCAGCCATTCAAGGAAATGAATTGGCCAGCCTCAGATCCCACCCCTGCATCATAATGACGCAGGCCTGCCCTGAATGAGATTTTCTAGCCTCCAGTAAGTGTGACTAGCCGAGAATTGCCCATTTAACATTATACCCAGCCATTGAGCATCACAAAAAGGTAATTAGATTAGAACAGGGAAGAGAATCAAAAGTTAACAGCCTTGGCCAAAGCTGTACTGCGTGGCCATCTCTGGGCCATTGAGAAGAAATGTGAAATCGTCAGAGCCTTGACTAGGATGGGATAAAAGTTGGACATGAAGTGATTCTTAGTGATTCCCCGACTCAGACAGGTCCTCCCTGGGTACATGTGGAGGATGGCTTACCAAGCGGAAACAGTTCGTGGGGCAGCTGTACTCAGTTGTCAAGAGAGCCATGTGTTTACTCCAGATGTGATTCTGCACATCACTGAGCAGAGCGATGCTGATGTTCAGATTGCATGGCAGACCATCAGCCTTATGCCAGAGAGTCGTAACTCAATGACAAGCATCAGGTTGGCAGACAGATGTTATGAAAAAGCCGGATTCCAAGGAGTGCTGAATATAGCACTGTCTATATGGTGTTTCCTTTGCGTGCACGCACACACACGCGTGCACGCACCACAATTCTTCTCATTCCATCTGAAGAAGGACATTGTAGGACTGGGAATGCTGCAAAGATGAGCAGCCAGCATGGTCAGGGTTGAAGCACCTTTTCTACAAGGGAAGGAGATGCAGCTCGAAGCTTTGTCGGTTTAGAGGCAGGGGAAAAAACTGCTAAGGGAGGACACGGCAGAGAGAATGGGGAAGACAAATGGAAAGATCTCTCTCCTCCTGCTATTTCCACGATGCCAGTTGCTTGGGCATAAGCAAAAACTGAGCTCAAGGACCTTCTCCAGACCATCCTGAAGCCTGACCAGCCTCGAGTTCATATCAAATTGTGAGGTTTTGTGCACTGCACCGGTGCGCAGTTTCGAAAGGTGCACATTCTCGCCCCATGGACTGAAGTGCATTTGTGCACAGATACAAATTCAGGCACTTTTCCCACATGGACCTTTCAAACCTATGCATACTGTCAAATGCATTTTTGGGAAGTATGAAAATCATGTTGCGAAGTCAGTCATGAACAGACTGGGTGCAGGTTGTGTTGCGGTCAAAAACCTTTGAACAATTTTCCTTAATATCCACAGTTGATAATAACAGAATATGGTGTGCAAATAGGAGGATCTGTGAGAACTGAGCTCTTCAGGGTTGTCTGAAATGTTGGCTACTCCATCCCCGGGAAGCCCATCCTTTCATAACGTGCACATTCAAATGTGTCTTTTTCCTCCATTGACTAAAGCAGGAAAAAGCGTATTTTCCCAAACTATGCATTTTTTGAAGAGAACATGTTTCTAAAGCACATAGTTTGTCAGCAAGCATCAG